GTGGCGTACGCGACGACGACGACGAGGACGACGATGACAACGACGACGACGAGGACAACGAGGACGAGGACGAGGACGACGAGGACGACGAGAACGACGAGGACGACGAGAACGACGAGGACGACGAGAACGACGAGGACGACGACGACGACCACGACGAGGACAAGGCCGAGGACGATGACGACGACGACGACTACAATGACGACAACGACGACGACGACCACGACGACGACGGCGACGACCACGACAAGGACGACAACGAAGACGACGACGAGGACCGGAAAGAGGACGAGGACGAGGATGACGAGGACGAGGACGACGACGGCGACGACCACGACGGCGACGCCGACGACGACGAGGACGAGGACGAGGACGAGAACGACGGCGGCTACGACGACGACGACGACGACGGCGACGACGACGACGACGACGACGGCGACGACGGCGACGACGACGACGACAAGGTCGAGAACGAGAACGAAGACGAGGGCAAGGACGAAGATTAGGACGACAAGGACGACGACGACCACGACGACGACGACGACGACGGCGGCGGCGACGACGACGCCAACGACGGCGACGGCGGCGACGACGACAACGACGACAAGGACTAGGACGGGGACGACGACGAGGAAGAGGACGGGGTCGAGGACGAGGCCGAGGACAACGAGGACGAGGACGATGACGGCGACGACGACGACGGCGACGACGACGAAGGCGACGACGACATCTACGACGGCGACGACCACGACGACGACGACAAGGACGAGGACGAGGACGACGACGAGGGCGAGGACGACAAGGACGACGACGACGACCACGACGACAAGGACGAGGAAGAGGACGAGGCCAACGAGGACGAGGACGCCGACAAGGACAAGGACAAGGACGACGACAACGACGACGACGACGACGACGGCGGCGACACCGACGGCGACGTCGACGACGACGACGGCGATGACCACAACCACGCCCACGACGATGACGACGACATACGACGACGACGACGACGACAAGGACGACGACGAAGACGAGGACGAGGACGAGGACGACGACGACGGCGGCGACGACGGCGACGACGACACGACGACAACGACGATGACGGCGACGATCACGACGACAACGGCGACGACCACGACGACGAAAAGGAAGACGACGTGGACGAGAAAGAGGACGAGGACGCGGATGACGAGGACGAGGATGACGACGACGACGGCGACGACCACGACGGCGACGACGAGGACGACGTTAAGGACGACGGCGGCGACAACGACGATGACGACAATAACGACGACGAAGACGACGACGAGGACGAGCAGAGGACGAGGATGAGGATGAGGATGAGGATGACGACCACGACGGCGATGGCGACGACGACGACAAGGCCGAGGCCGAGGACGAGGACGACGACGACGACCACGACGACGGCGGCGACGACGACAGCGACGACGACGACGACGACAACAACGACGACCACGACAACGACGACGACCACGACGACGACGGCAAGGACGACGACGAAGACGCCGACGAGGTCGAGAAAGAGGACGAGGATGACGAGGACGAGGACGACGACGACCACAACGACGACGACGACGACAAGGCCGAGGAGGAGGACGAGGACGAGGACGACGGCGACGACGACCACGACCATGATGACGACGGCGACGACGACGACAAGGACGACGACGAAGACGACGACGAGGACGAAAAAGAGGACGAGGATGACGAGGACGAGGACGAGAACGAGGACGACGACCACGACGACGACAAGGCCGAGGACGAGGACGAGGATGATGACGACGACGACCACGATGCCGACGACGACGACGGCGACGACCGCGACGACCACGACGACGACGGCACGGACGACGACGAAGACGAGGACGAGAAAGAGGACGAGGATGACGAGGACGACGACGACGACGACGGCGACGACCACGACGGCGACGACGACGACGACGACAAGGACGACGCCGACGACGACGACGACGACGACGACGACGAGGATGACGAGGACAAGGACGACAACGCCGACGACGGCGACGATCACGACGGCGACGGCGAAGACGACGACGAGGACGAGGACGACGACGACGACGACAAGGACGACGACAAGGACATGGACAGGGACGTCGACGATAATGAGGAAGAGGACGAGGACAACGACGAGGACCACAACGACGACGGTGACGACCACGACGACGACGAACATAAGGACGCCGACGAGGACGACGAAGAGAACGAGAAAGAGGACGAGGACGGGAACGACGACAAAGACGACGACGACGACGACGACGACGGCGACGACGACGACGGCAACGACGACGAGGGCGACGACGACAAGGATGAGAACGACGACAAGGACGAGGCCGAGGAAGAGGACGAGGACGACGAGCACGAGAACGACGACGACGGCGACGACGACGACGGCGGCGGCGTCGGCGGCGGCGACAAGGACGACGGCGGCGACGACAACGACGACAGCGACGATCACGACGACGACGACTACAAGAACGAGGGCGAGAACGAGGACGACGCCGACGGCGACGACCACGGCGACGCCCACGACGACGACGACGACAAGGACGACGACGAAGACGACGACGAGAAAGAAGACGAGAACGACGTGGATGACGAGGACGAGGACGACGACCACGACAACGACGGCGACGAAGTCGACGACAAGGCCGAGGACAAGGACGAAGACGACGACGACGACGGCGACGACGGCGGCGATCGC